GAGTTGTTGTTCTCCTAGACCAGTTGCCATCCAAGGCTATAGAATCCAGTCTGTCCTGCTATTTACCCATAGCTGGAACTAGAAGAGGGGGATTAATACTTTTTAGCAAGTAAGTGAATGTAATGGATTCGACTGGATTTCGAACTCGGCTCTCCGATTCCCCAATCCGAGCCGCTATCCACCGTGCCCCTCTCTCTATTATATATATATATATATATATATATATATATATATATATATATATATATAAATAATATAGACTTATTAGGTTTATTTATTTTTATAATAATCCTATCTAGTTTTTTAATTAGCTTCTTAATGTTGAAATTAATCAAGGAAGGCGGCGTATTTTTTGTTCACCCAAGTACTTTCGATCTGCTTCGAGATCGTCCTCATGGATGAATTGCGAAGACAAACTGTGTTTGTTGTGATGGTGATTTTTGTAAACACGCATGAACGCGCTCAGTTATAATTAGTTTAAAATTAACCGTTGTAGCTATGGTATGGTGTTGTAGCGACTGCGATGTTTTTTCCACGCCCACATTTTATTCCTCTGCGACTGGCTAATAAATCAATACTGCCTTTCTATTGGACAATTTAGCCATTGCAGTCGTTGCTTTGAATTTTTCGGTTTTGAACTTGCTTGCTTGTTTCGTTAGCACAAATTTAGCGATTGGTCAGATATGGTGAAAATGTAAATGTCATTAAATATTGGTCAAATACATTTTAAAACATTGCTATTATGCTCGTAATAAAGCTTGTTCGGTGTTGGTTGGTTGTTTCTTTTATATATATATATATATATATATATATATATATATATATATAGAGAGAGAGAGAGAGGGTCTCGTGAATTTAAATTTTTGTTTATTATTTTCATGGTGTAGCTACATTACAGTTACATTAAGTTTGTCTTCGCAATTCACCCATGAAGATGATCTCGGAGGAGATCGAAAGTACTTGGGTTAACAAAAAATACGGCGCCTTCATTAGTGAATTTCAACTTAAGATCAAGAAGCGAGAGAAGCTTAGAGAACTAGAAAGAATTATTATGAAAATAAACATAATATGCTTATATTATTCAATGAAACCTGCTCGAATGAAGATATGCTGCCTTTACACACACACACACACACACACACACACATATATATATATAAAATGACAATTGGAAAAAAAATCTTAGATTTTGCCGACGCGTTTCGTCTTCCGACTTTTTCAAGGCAAAAATGAAATCGAAATGTTTTTGTTGTTATAGTTACATTAAAAATCCAAATTTAAAAAGATAGACGCTTCTGTCTAAGCTTTTTTTTCTGGTTTTTCTGTAAATTTCCTTTATAGTAAGGGAATTTTTTCCCCATGTCGACTATATAGTTAAATTCCCAGATCAATTCTGTGGACAAGACAGATTGGTATAAAATGACAATTGGAAAAAAAATCTTAGATTTTGCCGACGCGACAGACATATATATATATATATATATATATATATATATATATATATATACTGCAAAAATTTAAATGCAGCGTCAATATCTATTTTATGTTTTCATGATTCTTATCCTTTTCTTGTCCTTTCTTCTCGCTCTCTTTCACTTTTCATAACAACTGGCTTCTTAGTGGCGTTATCGCCTTGGTTGGCGCAAAACTGATTAATACATGCATGCATATACACGTGTGTGTGTACCTCTAAAGTGGTGAAAAATTGCTACAAACTTAAAGACAAGGTTTTATCGTCAAAATCTTTATTATTATTAAAAGGAAAGAACAAAGGATTTTTGGACGTAAATTTTTTTTTTTTATGCTTTTTAGAACCTTAGAAATTTTGGTTTTAAATGTAGTTTTCTTGCGACAGTCGGTGACAATAAATTAGTGTGGGAAATTTTGGCGTCTTTTTGTGGTGAAAAACATTGGTTTGGAAATTCTTGCAAAATTCAGATAATTGTCGCATTTTAAAGAAACTGTCAGCACTTATTCAAAAATAAATGAAATTATTTGGAAATGTTTCTTTTTAGAAAACTTTGGTAAAAAATAATTTTCACATCTAGCCCACTCCATTTATTTATTTTTATGAAATTTTGGTAAATTCGTTTTTGTGGGGTTTAAATGTTATCAGGACAAATCCGCCGAGAATATAAATCAACATTTTTTTTGTGTTTGTGTAGGGGTTGGGTGTCAAACAGGGCCACCAGATACAGAAAATCTGCTCTGAATCGTACAATAAAAAATGCATTAAAACTAAAAATTGAATTATTTAATTCGAAAAGGTTTTACTTGCTTCTATTAATAAAATATAGTACGGACATTATTGTCATATGAAAAAGTTGCTTTTGTTTTTTTCGATGAATAATGAATTTTTACAAGAATTGTTTTCATTTTTTTATTTCAATTGTTATAATTTATAAATTTTTAAATCGTTTAAAATTCTGTGAATTTCTGTAAAACATTCATCATGTATGCTCTTTTCAGCAAATCCTGACGATACCTATATATATATATATATATATATATATATATATATATATATATATATATATATATATATATATATATGTATGTATATATATATATATATATATATATACATACATACACGTGTATATATATATATATATATATATATATATATATATATATATATATACGCATGTGTATGTATATATATATATATATATAGAGAGAGAGAGAGAGAGAGAGACTGCGATCAACACCGAGCGTCGACAATCAAGCATAAAACAGACAGTCGCCGCTTGTTGTTGACCCCAGTTTTCACTTTTGTATTGAGCGCTTTTACGCATAAATATAGCATATCTTAAAACTATATTTTATCATATATGTTGGTACCTCTAGAAAGCGATAAATTAAAATGAAGCTTTTATTTTAGTTTTGATTTCAAGCTAATAGATTAAATTTAATATTTCCAATAAGCAACATTGCATTTCAAAAGGAATTTAAATTGATTGGAATTATATTTTTTTTAATCTCTAAAAATGGCGATTTTCGTCCATATTTACAAATCTTTTCTCTCATTGTGTTGAAAGATATGTGATAGTGAAAGATGCCTTCCAAAAGCTGAGCAAAGTATTAAAAAACAGAAAAATATTGTTAGAAACATAGAAAAGAGTACGGAACTGTTGCATAATATCATTCGTCCTCTATGGCAGTGATTGCTAGACAGTCACCTCACAGATGAAGAGGCGAATTGAATGTAGTTCTACAGAAGGATGCTGAGAATTCCATAAACCGAAAACAAGAGCAACGACAAAATTTTAGAGAAGAATAGGAACAAAAAGGACACTTTATACTTATCATCAGAAGAGACACTTGGAATTTCTAGGGCACATAAAGAAGAAAGAATACTTGGAAAATCTAATAGTCACAGGAGAGATTGACGGCAAGAGAGACGGAGGAAATCAGTGTATAACATACTTAGTGATCTTGAGTAAATGGATGGCGGAACAGGATTTAGGTGAGATAACGAAAAGAAAAAAAATTATTGATTGCCATGAAAGGGCAGAAAATAGAGAAAGCCATGATCGCCAAAGTGTAACCTTGAAATCCGAAAGTGTATTGAGATAACGAAAGATGCCTTCTATAGAAACATAGAACAGAGTATGGAATTGTTACGTAATATCAGTCGTCCTCTATGGCAGTGATTGCTGGACAGTCTCCTCACATATGAAGAGGAGAATTGAAACAATGGCGGAACAGGGTTTAGGTGAGATAACGAAAAAAGAAAAATTTACTGAGTGCCATGAAGGGCAGAAAATAGAGAGAGCCATGATCGCCAAAGTGTAACCTTGAAATCCGAAAGTGTATTGAGATAACGAAAGATGCCTTCCAAAATCTAAGCAAAATACTAAGAAACAGAAAAATATTGTTAGAAACATAGAAAAGAGTACGGAACTCTTATGTAGTATGAGTCCTCCTATATTGGCAGTGAATGCCGGACAATCTCCTCACAGATAAAGAAGAGACTTGAAGCAACAGAAATGTGGTTCTACGAAAGAATTCTAAGAATACCACAGACCAAACATGTGAGCAATGACGAAGTTCTAAAGACAATGGCAACAAAAAGGAAATTTATACTTAAACATCAGAAAGAGAGATTTGAAATTGTTGCGCCACATAATAAGAAAAGAGATATTGGAAAATTTGATGGTCACCTAACAGATTGAATGTAAGAGAGACAAAGGAAAACCTACCTGAGAAGCTTGTGTGAATGGATGGCTAAGCAAGATTTGGGAGATATGGCAAAAAAGACAAAAGTTAGTAATAGCTATAAAGGATAGGAAAGTGCAAACATCCTAAAGGGACTCGACAGATAATAGATTATGCTCATTTTATAGCGAATCTTTGGAGGTACCTATAATATATATACATATACTATTAAAATCAATCAAAAACCAATAAAGTAAGGTTTTTTTTTTCTCCAGCGTGTTCCTCCCATAAAACACAAACACTGAATCATTTTTAACACTGAAGCATTTTCAAGTATTTCATTAGTTATTAATATTGTTTTATTCTCTACGTTTCCTCAATGACGTTCTTTTCATAGAAATATGGAAGACGTCTGTTTCATTTAAATCCTTTTCGCAGGAAATTTAAAGTACGTCATCAGCGCCATCTTTTATTATTATTTTATTCATTTGTTTACTGAGTCTTGTTTGTTTGTAAAAGGCAGGACTCTTGATTTGCAAGAATACATTTGTTTACCAGACATTGAAGTGTTAGTCATTATTGTCTTTGGGTCCCTCGTCTCTCGTCTTCGAGCTGTTATTATGGTTGTTTGCGATCAAGATGGCTGCTAATGTTGTTTCCGGTCAAAATGGGCCCCAAACTCTCCTTTCCATATTCCCCCTCTTTTTTTTTTTCACTATCACCATGGCTATTATCAGAGAAGCTTAGGGCCTTACTCCAGCCCGCCCCTCAGTCCGATCTCGTTGTCCACTTGTCATGGAGTGGAATCTCCATTCGTTTAAAAAAAAAATTGTTGCCACTTAAATCCGGCGCAAGAGTGGATGATTGTTTTGAGAGAAGAAGCAGGGAAGAGAGAGTGTGGAGGTGGGAGGGGGGAGAAAAAGAGAGGTGGAGAATATGGAAAATGAAAGTGGGAGAGGACAGAAAGGCTGGTGGGAAGAGGAAAAAATTAGTTTCCCCTCAACGAAGAACATGAATTTTCTGGAAGAGCTTGGTGAACAGAAATTGATGAGAGGTGACATTGAGCGAGAGAGAAGGGGGAGTTCGTCATGTAGTGGTAGAAGATGTGCGAGCAACTGGAAAGGAGAAACAATACACTATTTCTTTATTTACAGTATAACCCGGATATAAAAGAGATGTTCTCTGGTCCCAAATTAGAGCCTGTGTTAATGTATATAAAATAGACCAAACCCGGATATAAGAGACTTCTTCTCCGGTCCCGACAACACTCTTATATCCGGGTTACACTGTATTAACAGTAGCTAAGTAGAGCATAAGACTACCGGGTACCCAACGATTTTTTGAATGCTTATAAAAGTATCTTTGTATAGTATTTTGTGTAATGATACCGCGGATAATTTATCATACTGAAAATTCATCTAATACAAGGCTCGAGGGCCACCCAAGCAAGAAGGTTAGTGTTAATGAGGCATGGCTATATATATATAAAGTCTCTCTCTCTCTCTCTCTCTCTCACACACACACACACACACACACACACACACACACACACACACACACACACAATCTGTGAAAGAGAGCGAGAGAAGGCGTGTTAGGGATTTTTGATATCCTTTTTTCGATATTGACATCCATAACCAAAAATCGGTATCATGAATTTGGCTTCCTTAACGAAGAATTTAGAGGCGACTGAGACTGATTAGAGACGTGCTGCCAAAAGTGGTCTGGCAACAAGTCTTTTGAAGCCGCCCCCTTTTTTCCTCGGACCTTTTCCTCTCACGGCGATGGAGATTACTTGTTTTATATGCGATATTAAATTTCACCCAATACAAGGCTCGGTAGCCACTCAAGGCAGAGAGTTACTGTCAAAATGTTGACAAAGAACGAAAGGTGTGATATGAATGAAAGCGGATATGGTAGGAAGTGAAGTGAGGATAAGGAGAATAAAGAACAATTGTCCCCACCCCCACCGGACATTAAAGCACCAAATTTCTCAAGCATTAAAAGTTGCATTCACGATCACGAATCCCCTGATTATGACCCCTTAGGGTCGTAGGGGCACCACACGCAGTGCAGCCGCAGCGGAAGTGGTGTTTCTTAGGCTGAATAACCTGACGGAGCCCAATCCTCTCCCGGCTGGTTTGAATTCAGAGTTTACTTCTCTTACAGAACCCAGTCTGTCCTGCTATTTACCAATAGTGGGGAGAAGAGGAGGATTCATACCTTTCCCAAGGGTGTTAGCACGTAAGTGAATGTAATGGATCCGATTGGAATTCGAACTCGGCTCTCCGATTTCTCAATACGAACCGCTATCCATTACTCCACCGTATCTTAAAATTGGCATTAGGACATTTAAATTCAACTCATGTTTTCAATTAAGAAATTCAATGTCAGTAAAGTTTTTTCCTTTTAATTTAATACAACTTCAAGAGACAGTAATATTAAATAGAATATAAATCCGTGGAGATTTGACGCCCAAAATTTTAATATTCAGGGGAGCATCTACGCGGGAGACTGTTTGACAATGCTGTATTTCTAGATGTAATAACTTGAGGAGATGAAGCTAAAGAATGGAGTTCAACTGTCTGATAGCTTTAGAGCTACTAAGCTGCCCTGTTGGCAATCACGGTTTCCCACTCGGGGTAATTGAATCAACAAAAGATGAAAGCCCTTTTAAAGGAATCACTCTATCTCTTTAGTGGAGCTGCAGCTCCCCGTCGACCAAAGACGTGTTCCCCGAACAGAAGGCTCTTTGAAATATCATATAGCCCACCGACCTCATCATGTTGCCTGTTCACCTCCATTGTTACTTTTCCATTAAGGCTTTAACCAAGGTAGTGAATGCTGGACAATAGACAAGGGAGAGACTTGAGACAATAGAAATGTAGTTCTACAGAAGGATGCCGAGAATACCATGGACCGAACATGTGATCAACGATGAAGTTTCACAGAAAATGGCAACAAAAAGGAAACTTATACTTAACCTCAGGAAGAGAAGTTGAGAGGTCTGGGGCACATACTGAAAAAGGAGAGTTTGATACAGGACAGATTGGGGCTAAGAGGTACAGAGAAAAACAGCGCATAAAATATTTGATGAGCTTAAGTAAATGGATGGCAAAACAGGGTTTAGGAGAAATAATGAAAAGATAACATTTATTAACACTACAAAGGACAGGAAATTGTGGAGAGCCATGATCGCTTACGTCCATACGGGACACGGCACATACAGAAAAACACTAGCAGACTTGACGACAGTATTGATGGTCAATGTCAGATATTACTCCCATTCTTCTTCTTTTATGTGCCGTGTCCTTTCGGAACGTGGGCGATCATAGCCCTCCACGTCCTCCTGTCTCTTGTAGCTCTCAATAAGTTTTTTTTTAATTTCTTCCAAACCCTATTCTGCCATCCACTTGCTTAGGGCTGCTAAGTATGTCACGCGCGGATTTCCTTTGTCCCGCTTTCCCTCTATCTGCCATGTGAGTATCAGATTTTCCAAGCCCTCCTTTCTCATTACGTGTCTCAGAAATTTCAGCTACCGCTTCCTGATGTTAAATATAAGTTTCCTCTTTGTTTGCATCCTCCCCAAAACCTCATCGTTGCTCACATGTTCGGTTCATGGTATCCTTAGCATCCTTCTGTAGAAGCATACCTCTGTTGCCTCGAGTCTCTTCATCTTTGAGAAGATCGTCCAACACTCGCTGCCGTAAAGGAGGACAGTTATCATGTACCAGTTCAATACTCTTTTCTTTGCTAACGAGAATAAGGGGTTATATATCGGAGGTTGACCAGAGAAGAGGATCAGATTTTCGAACTCGTAGATTGCGATAGACACCTGTGGCTCTGTGCCATTCAAGTTCACCAAGTAGCGTGTGTATGTTGGGGGGTGGGGTCCGTGATAACGTTGAGCAAATCAACCTTCAGTGATCACCACTTACGATGACCCATCAGATACAAATAATGATGATCTGTATAATTCTCAAATGGGTACTATTTAAATAGACTGGGCCGCTAGTAAAAAGCGTCCTGGGCAAGACGATAAACTACGCCCAACAGCAAGGCTACTGATCAGGAGGTTTTGAGGAGCGTGGAACCACCTCTTAATTGCTGGTGTTCCCAGGTCCACCCTGACCCGGGGTGGTAGCACCTGTTAGGGCCCCAGCAATGGGCAAATAGTTAACCCCGAAACTGAGGTAAAAAGCATTATAAAATATTACCAGCAATACGTTTTTGAAGAAAAAAATCTATTACCAGCAATACGTTTTTGAAGAAAAAAACTATTGCCAGCAATACGTTTTTGAAAAAAACAAAACAACTATTATCAGCTATACATTTTTGAGGAAAAAAACATTATCAGCTATACATTTTTGAGGAAAAAAAAACTATTATCAGCTATACATTTTTGAGGAAAAAAACATTATCAGCTATACGTTTTTGAGGAAAAAAACCTATTATCAGCTATACGTTTTTGAGGAAAAAAACCTATTATCAGCTATACATTTTTGAGGAAAAAAAACTATTATCAGCTATACATTTTTGAGGAAAAAAACATTATCAGCTATACGTTTTTGAGGAAAAATAATTATCAGCTATACATTTTTGAGGAAAAAAATATTAACAGAAATAGATTTTTGACAAAACAAAAATATTACCAGGAAAAAAAAGTTGTTGGCATTAAATGACCCATTGAGGTTGATATGCCGCAAAGCAAAAACCAAACCACTAGTAAAAAAAATGGGGCGAAAAGGTTTCGGAAATTAACATTCACTAAATCTTTCTCAGTACACGACGTTTTCTTTTTCTTAATCGAATTCACCCCAAGTAAGGCAGTAAAGCCGCTAAGACACAAGGGGATACTGGGTGTGATAGTAGATAACGATTGACATTGCATTTAAATTTTTAAAGATCAAAGTTGTCCGGAAAGTATCGAATCGATATTCCACAAGCGAGAAGTAAGAGAAAAAAAAAATGTCAGCATAGAACTTACGGTTGTATTTATCCAATTCAACTGTAAATTGACGAGACCTTGTTGCCAATTTAATACTGCTCGTAAATTCCTAAAGTCTCGGTATCATAATGAAGCGCTCAACCGAACAGTTACTATGAAATTATTTATAAATCAGGACAAATAATATTGATGATTCGTATTTGGATTTTATCCAAAATCCCTAAATATGTGGCAGCAATATTCTAAACAGGGGTGAATGGTAGATTTATCGATATGTATGATAGATTCTGGGGAGAAAAATTGTCCAGCCCGACATAGTGACATCGTAAATTTTGATGATATTACAAAAAAAAAAAGAAAAAAGATGGTTGCTTAATATTGACAAATATAATCATATATAATATTATCAAAGTTTGATTGCCATGTAAGTTCAGAACCTAGGCGACCATGGCTTTCCATATCTTCCTGTCCTTTCTAGCTCTTAGTAAGGCTTGTATTTTCGTTAACACTCTTAATCCCTGTTCTGCCAACAATTTATACAAACTGGTTAGGTAGGTTATTTTCTGCTTTCTTCAGTCCCACTTGCCTTCAATATACCTAGTGAGTGTCAGATTCTCCAAGCCCTCTATCCTATTATGTGCTCTAGAAATTTCAATTGTCTCTTTCTGTTTTTTTTTCTGTTGTTTTCTTCTTTTTTTTTTTCTTCTTTTTTTTTTTCTTCTTTTTTTCTGGGTTTGTTCTGTTTTTTCTTTCTTTTTTTTCTTTTTTTTTTTCCTGTTTTCTTTTTTTTTTTCCTGTTTTCTTTTTTCTGTTTTTTTTTTTCCTGATTTTTTTTCTGTTTTTCTCTGATTTTTTTTCCTGTTCCCCCCACCCCATTTTACTTACGTATTTGAAACATAGAAGAATAAGAAGCACTTTATTCAATTTTTGAAAACAGCTTTTGCTAGTCTTAGGTACCTTCGCATATTTAAATCACACTTTCCATCTTCCCTTACCATACCATACTAGATTTTGACGTCCCTGATGTGTAATCGTCCCTTTTGCACGCGACAATGCTTTATATTTTCTTACAATCAGAGTAATTCACAGTTTACATGTGTTAAACAGCGTATATAAAATATTTCTCTTTACAAAAGCAAAAGATTGTACTAAAATTTTTATTGACCAATATAATTTCAAAAGAAGTAATGGATTTTTTTATTTATTAATCCAACAGATTTTATTACTTTATACGTTATTTTTAGTGGATGCCCATATTTGAGTAGACGTTCCATTTATTTATTAGACAATATATTTATTTTCGTCTAGCGGCACGAATATTCCAGAAATCTTATTCTTAAGAAAAATATGCGCCGCCCGACAGGATTCGAACCTGTTTCTTCCTGGGCAGATTCGACGTGCTTTTACCGGTTCAGCCGATCAAGCAAGGCTGTATATTCCTTTAAGTGAAAAGCGTAATAGATTTTAGAAATTTTATATCTGTTCAGCTTTGTATACAAACGTAAACCAAGCAATTTCTAAAGAGGTAATGGATTTATTTTGTTTAAAAATTTTTAGTCCGACAGATTATAAAGTTATAAAATTGACTAAAGTACAACTAAAACCCTGTAAATATAGGGAATTTTCTCATATCGTTAGCTTATTTACGGTACTGTGTGTTTGCATTCATTTTCTTACTGGCTTTAGACTGTCTATATGTTTGCCTTGTCACACGTCTTCCTGCCTGTCACAAGGTTGATTGTGGGACTTGGATTGTCTTTATCCTGAAATCATTCTAGTGGTTGCTTATTAAATTAATCTTGTGATAAGACACGCACGACTGGAAACACAACAACAGCAAGGTGATAATGAAAAAGTTAAAGAGACTAACAAGATGATTGAGATGATAATGGCGATGAGGAGGTGGGAGGTCCCCAAGGCGGGCAACAGAAGAGCGAAGAGAAGTAGATAGAAGGAAGGAAAGAGTCAGGAGAGGGATAAAAAGGGAGTAAGGGAAAAGAGAAAGGATAAAAAAAATAAGATGAAAAAGACAAAGAAAGAGGCAAAAGGAAGGAAGGAAAAAAGGAAAGAAAGAAGGAAAAACGGAAAAGGAAAGAAAGGAAAAAAGGAAAGAAGCAAGGAAAAAACGGAAAAGGAAAGAAGCAAGGAAAAAACGGAAAAGGAAAGAAGCAAGGAAAAAACGGAAAAGGAAAGAGGGAAATAAAAACGGAAAAAGGGAAGGAAAAACAGAAAAAGGAAAAAGAGAAGGAAAAAAGGAAAGAGGGAAGGAAAAACGGAAAAAGGAAAGAGAGAGAAAAGGTGAAAGAAAAAGGAAAAGATAGAGAAAGGGGGAGAGGGGAAGAAAGGGAAAGAGAAAAGGCGAAAGAAAGAAGGAAAAACGGAAAGGAAAGAAAGAAAGAAGGGAAAAACGGAAAGGAAAAAAGAAAAGAAAAGGGAAAGAAATAATAAAACAAAGGGAAAACGAAAAAAAAGAGTGCCAAAAAGAATTGAATGAAAGAAAGAAAAGGTAAAAAAAAAACTTACTTAATTCAAAACAAAGATGTTTATCCTATTATTATTGCTGTGTACTTTCAGGATGTGGTTGATCATAGCTCTACTCAATTTCCTCTTCCTTATAGCTCTTTTTTGCCATCCCTCACATCAATGGTTCCGCCATCCAATTACACAAACTCATCAAGCAAGGTGCTCGCTAAAGCTCTCTGTCTTTTTTGCCTTCGATATATCCTGTGAATTCTCCAAGCCCATCCTTCTTCATTATGAGAAATTTCATCTGTCACTTTCTGATTCTGTCTTTTGAACAGGAGTAGAGGTTTATCCCTTTGTTTACTGTTTAAGATTGATTCTCCTCCTCCTTTCACTGCCAGTGGCGGTATTACATGGCTTGGGGTGAAATGATTAAAAAAAAAAATTCATTTTTTTTGTTTCCATTTTCTTTAAGACGCCTTCGTTGGTAACGCACTCCATCCATGGTATTCCAAGAGTCCTTCTGTAGAATCACATTTCTGTTTCTTCCAGTCTTCTCTTCCTCTGCGAGAAAATATTCCAGCATTTACTCCGATATAAGAAGATTGATACTTCATAGCAGTTCTGCATTCTTTTTTTTATATTTCTAACGAACTTTTTCTGATTTTTAGTACTTTGCTTAGCTTTTGGAAGGCATTTTTTGCTATACCTCTACACGTTCTTTCGGTGTCGATGGTGAAGTAATGGATAGCGGCTCGGACTGAGGAATCGGAGAGGCGAGTTCGAATTCCAGTCGAATCCATTACATTCACTTGCCCTGGGAAAGGTCTGAATCCTCCTCTTCTCCCCACGCCCAGCTATGGTTAAATAGCAGGACAGACTGGGTTCTATAGCCTTGGATGGTAACTGGTCTACAGCAGAAGGAAATAGCAATACTGCGGGGAAAAACCTGCCTCGTCAGTCATATATCGAAAGATACATGATCGCCTAAGCGTGTATCAAGCATGATACATAACTGACTGATTTTCCATCATCCGTTAAAACACTTTCCACATATTTAAACTTCTGTACTTGTTTGATGCTGACATCTCCAAATTTTCCTCTTGCTGGCGAGCATACATTTTGTGTTCTTATACTTGATGATTAGTCCTTTCTTCTCGCTTTCCTTTACTACCCTGTCGAATATATCCTGTTGTTTACCATATGTGCCTGCATTTAAAGCAGTATCACCTGTGTATCTTATATTGTTAAGATTGTACCCACCGATAATAAATCCCGGCAGGGTTTCTAGCTCCCTTCTGAGAGATTCGCTGTAGAGGTTGAATAGATTCGGTGAGAAAACACATTCCAATATGTTTGTGTACATGCTCAATTCATTCTCTGTCCGACCGAAGGCGATTTGTTGCCAGTTCGTTCGTCTTAGACAACTTAAATTCATATTCTCCGACTGAAGTCATCCCACGAAAAACTCATTCACTGAATCATTAAATTAAAGTTTAAGGCGTTAGAACGTTGCAAAATTTCGTGTGTCAGATTCGAAAATTGAAAACAAAGATCATTTATTAGTCAAGGATACAGCCGCCATTGTTTTTTGTTATATAGGAATAAAGTGTCGCTGCCGACACTTGGGTTTGAACATAAATCGCCAGTGAGCAAACACAGGCGATCCCATTATTGAATTAAGTTGACCACGTGGCCATAGAGGAAACACATATGTAGGAAGTCGCGTGACGTCTAGATTGATCGCTATTTCTATTCTATCCTCTATTACTATACGGACCGATATTCTCTACTCTATTCATTATAGTATTTCTCTATTATCACCCGAGCGAGTATTATCGAGCAAGTACTATTACTGCTAGTGATATTCTAAGGTGTTTGACACCAGTGTTGTTCAACGGCGTACTATAGTAGTATCTGCAATTACAAAGTCTCTACTACAGCGAGCATTACGAAAATGACAACGAGTGTTCTTTGATATCACAAAAGTTTTAAACAAATGCCCCGTTCAACAAACTTGTTGATGCCATTTTCATAGGAGCTTCGTGTATTTTGTTGGAAGGTGAGGTAGTTTTTTGACTGAGTGTACAGTCAACTTTTTTCTCATTTAAATTGTTCTCTAGAGATCAGAACAAATGAAAATCCGGAGGAGTTAAGTCAGAAGAATACTGTGGGTACTGGAGGGTGGGGTCCCATTTCAACACTAAACTTCTGCATGGTCAGTTTTGTAATATGCGGTCTTGCGTTGCCGTGGTGAAAAATAACACATTTTCAATTTGCCAAAATCAGTCGTTTTTCTTGAACCCAAGTTTCTTCAAATAGCAAAAAGCAGTTGAGATATCGATTTTCAAACTCTTAGCAATCTCTTTCATCAAAATTTTCGCTTTTATTCTCCAAGATCTTTTTCCTTCTGTGTTTGCATTTAAAAGTGTCACCTGCCTATCTTATACTGTTAAGATTGTGTCCACCGATAATAAATCCTGATAGGGACTCCGACACCCTCAGCATAGCCTTGCTGTAGAGGCTGAATAAGTCTAGCGAGAAGACACATCTGTTTTCTGTTTTTGTGTTCTTACTCAATTCATTGTCAATCTGTATGCAGATAGTTTGCTTCCAGTATAAGTTCTGACATACTTCCATATTAAGGTAGGTTGATTTTTCACTGTTTTAGGAAATCATTATTGTACTCAGCTTTGGGTTGACGTGACAAGTACTGCCGCTAAAAATTAGATTCATCGCTTTTTCAGCATTCCTTTTTAAATATCATCTGAAAATATGTACAGAAATACCTAATTTCCGAAGGTTTTTGTTAAAAAAAACCTTCAAAATTTGACATTTCAAGAATAAATTTAAATAAAGTTGTTATATTTTGTATAAGATACATTTAATGGAAAATATATCCAAACCAAAATTCTAATTATGAATCACTATAAGCGAAATATGTGATCTTTTTACTGTATTCGATAAGTGGAAAAATTGTAAAAGATTACAAAAAGGCCTATTCAATGAATTAAATTTGTTAGATCATAATTAATAAAAACAAAAGATAGATAAAAGTGGATATCTCTATCTATAAAAGGCTGTGTGTGTAACGAATGCGCGGCCGCAATTATCGACGGATTTGGCCCCAAATTTACATGCGCATGCTCCAAGTTAGCGGGAAGGCCAAGACCGACTTTGCATTTCCCAACTCCCATCGATAGTGGAATTAATCAATTTTTTTATGCTTCTACGGCACTTTTCATGTAGTTTGCGGCCATTTTCTACTGGCCAGAGTGAGAGCCTATAGCTGGCTGCCACGAATAGACAGAAAGATTCTATTGGCCAGCCTGAGAGCCAACAGCTGACTGACATGAATGTTAACTAGCATGCAAAAAAATCGATAGCTGCATTCGTCACAAGTGGGAAAAATTTAAATCTGCATAGTACTTTACTCCAATTGGCTCATTCACTTGCTTAAACTCAACGTTGATTCTGATTCCGCAGAACTGGGTTGGGTGTGAAAAAGTATTTGTTGTTAACATTCTTTTTTCATTCGGTTTTTCCAGTTACGAGTCCTTTTTAAAGCTGATCGTTTTGTGTTCATTTTGTTTAGTTCTTTTTTCGTAACAGATTTAATGTTTAGTATAGAGCTTAGAAAAAATTCGCAGTGTGAGATAGGCAAGAAGTAAGGCATGTAGCAACATCAGCACCGCAAAGGGCACTCCTTTAAAGGCAAGGAAGGGCAAAAATATTTTAACTCAAGTGATAGCGATTGCTGTATGAGTCGTACGATTTTTGAATCAAGCACGGGCAACGCCGGGTCATGCTGCTAGTAACACTATAATATTGCTGCGCATAAATTATAAGACAAAATGTTTTAAATTTGCATTGTTTATTGAAAATGGCACTAAAACTACTGCACTGTGTAATATATTACATCATAATACAGCTAAATTGTTCAGTATAATTTACCTTTGAAATATGAATGGAAGTTTTATTTGATGGCACGCTAACTTAAGAATAATACACTTGAGCCATGCACCTTGTCTATATAAAATTTGTAACGGTTCAAAAAATTATAAATTTTATAAGGCAGTGTTATAAGGCTTTCACTGATCACTGGAATGAAATTCCAACGCTATGATTTTGAACCTAAATTTAATCTTTAAACTCATTTCCTCAAAAGACGGTAAGTGTTTGGAAAAAAATATTTTATGTCGTTATTTATCATGTCAAACCCCAACTTTTAAATTGAGTGCAATATCACAATTCAAAAATCGACTTGCGCTATCCCCAATTAGACCTAAAATCTAAAAAAAAAAGTTTTTCATTATATAAGAGGATCAGTTAGGAAAAAAACAATGTAGAAACAAGAGGTACTAACTTAACATCTGATTCATCACCCTCCCCATTGTCTTGTGGCACACTGCTCGCTCTTTACAACCTATCCATTCTTCTTTTTCTGTGTTTCGCGTCCCTTATATATGTGGACGATGATGGTTCTTCAAAATTCCTGTCCTTTGTAGCTCTTAACAGTGTGCGTTTTTTTGTTATCGCCCCTAATACCTGTTCTGCTATACATATACACAAGCTCGTTAGGTAGGTATATCATGCGCTATTTTCCTCTGTCCCTCTTGTCTTCAATTTGTCCTGTTAGTGGTAATTTTTCTCAGCCATCTTTTCTCATTATATGCCCTAGAAATTATAAGTCCCGCTTTATATGTTAAGTGTTAGAGTTCTTTTCGTTACCATTGTCACGAGAACTTCGGCGTTGCTTACATGTTCAGCCAGTGTTGTTATTAGCATCCTTCTGTAGAACCACATTTCTCTTGCTTTAAGTTTTTATTGTTCCCTCACACAACGTATTTTCTTGTCTCAGTATCTGTTTATGCTACTTATTGTCTTCATCCATACGCTTTCTGATCGTCTTCTTTTTCTTTCTTTCTCAGTAATTCCATTTTTCGTTTGCGCTTTGTCTCCATTGTCCTAATTTTGATATTCTTTATGCTATCTCGCTCTCTTCATTACAACAAACATGTCAGATTCCCTTCGTATCTATCTATCACTGTTAATATCTATCTCGATCTGTTCTTATCTATGTATCATGATCTATTCGTATATCTCTATCTCAATAATACTGTTCATAAGTCTCCATCTACCTATCTTGTTCTCTCCATTGCAAAAGAATGGTGAAAGGTAGAAAGACTGTGTTACGCCACATTTTTAACCACGTCTCCTCTTTAATTTCCTTCTACCTCCGCTTTTCTCCCTACCACTTTTTCTCCGTCAATCTCTTGCCCTGAACCTCACCCGCTCTAGTTAGAAAATTGTGGTGTCACCGTCTGAAGGGCCCCATCACCTGAACCCAGACAATTAAAGACTTCTGTTCTGCGTTTCTGGCTTGAGGAAGGTGAATGGAACCGGTCACTATTTGTCCAACCCACCCTTCAGTAGACCTGCAGATAACTTACCACCACCTCTTAAAAGGGCAACAACCAACAGCCCCACCCTTCTAGAACAGAGTGAAGTGAGTGTGTTTCAACGGCCTATAAATCATTATTTATCAATGAGACTATTTGAGGAGAGAAAGCCGTGGAGCTGTCTTTCAATTATTTCCGTCGCTCTTGTCTCTCGGCACTACCCTTCCTCTCAACCTGCCCATTGTCCTCCCCAGCAGAACCCATGTCGTTACCCTGAGCGTTTCCATGACCCCTTCCCTTTCCATCAATACTGTTTCCCGCCTCTGTCCACTTGGACTCTGTTATTTTCTCTTCTACCTATTCACACGCTTTTCTCGGGCCTTTTTTTTTTTAATTTCTCTCTTTCTCTCTTCTTAATGGCCTGTCCCTCACACACACACACACCAACGTACGATGCTGCCTTACCCTAACCCTCTTATTTCTATCTTCTAGCTCCGTCAATATCCACAAACATTTATCAACACGCAACCATCCACTAACATTGACATTCCCTTTTCTATATAACTGCTCCCACGCCTCCACACACCCAAGTTCCCCTAGAGCCCCCACAATTCACCAGCGACGTTTGGTTCCTTTTCCCCTCTTCCCTTCCTTTCATATTTTTCGACCCCGTCCTTATCTTCTTCCTTCCTTCCTTTTAAAACTCTTCCTTCCTTCCTTTACCGTCCCTAGCTTTATTTATTTTAAACGACATGTTCTTTCAGGACGTAGACGATCATGGCTCTCCATAGCTTCTTTTTTTTTGTTTTTTTCTTTCTTTTTTGTTTTTTTTCTTTCTTTTTTGTTTTTTTCTTTCTTTTTTTTTTTTCTTTCTTTTTTTTTGTTTCTTTCTTTTTTTTGTTTCTTTTTTTTTTTGTTTTTTCTTTTTTTTTTTTTTTTTTTTTTTTTTTTTTTTTTTTGTTTTTGTTTTTTTGTTTCTTTCTTTTTGTGTTTCTTTTTCTTTTTTTTTTTTTTTTTTTTTGTTTCTTTTTCTTTCTTTTTTTCTTTCTTTTTCTTTTTCTTGTTTCTTTTTTTTGTTTCTGTTTTTTTCTTTTTTTTTTTTTCTTTCTTCTTTACTGGCAGTGTCTTCTCAGGACGGAGGTGATTATTTCTCTTCCTGTCCTTTGTAGCTCATAATAAATTTTGCCCTTTCGTTATTTCAATTAAACCCTGTTCCACCATCCATTTACTTAAGCTCATCAAATTCAAGTATATGTTCTGTTTACATCTTACTCTCAATCTGTCCTGTGAGTATCAAACTCTCCAAGCTCTCTTTTCTCGGTATGCATCCCAGAAATTACAACTGTCTCTTCTGGACGTAAAGAATAACTCTTCTGCTGTGTTAGGCGGTGGAGAACTCGGAGAGGGGAATTAACAGGAGATATCTGATAACTGACGTCCATTAGACATGGCACGCGGAACTAGAACAGTCTACCCCAGTGAGCGAATTAAAGGGTTCAGTTCGACATTCCAACCACCTGAAGAAGGCCGGAGCGTTCAACGGCCGAAACGTTGTGATAAATATGTCGACAAAGATGAGGACAATAGTGAAATTTCCTACTCTTTTCTTTGTTTCTAGTGAAGTTTATCCCTTTCTTAGTACTCTGTTTAGCTGTTACATATAAGTTTCCTTTTTGTTTCCATTCTCTTCAAAACCTCGTCATGTGTTCAGTCCATGGTATCCTCAGCATCCTTCTGTAGAAATTTCAACTGTCTCTTCCTGACGTTATGTATAAATTTTCCTTTTTGTTTCCATTCTCTCTAAAAATCTCGTCGTTGCTCACGTATTCGGTCGTTGGTCTCCGCAGCATCCTTCTGTAGAGCCACATTTCTGTTGCTTGTAGTCTCTTCTTCATGTTTGAAGACATTGTCCAGCATTCACTGCCATATACGACGACTGATATTATATGCCAGTTCAGTACCCTTTTTTTGTTGTTGTTGTTGTTTCTAATGATTTGTTTTTTTTCTGTCTTTTAATATTCTACCTTGTTTTAGCTTTTTGAATATATCTTTGGTTATGTCAGTGTGCCTACGGAATTCAGTGCCGCACTTTCTGTCTTCTGTTAACACTAGGTTGGCCAGCTCCTTTGACATCTTTATTTACATTATGCCATGAAGCAGCCATCTTTAATATATTCAATATTCAAGTCAGGAATAACAAGTCTGAAAAGAAATTCACAAATATTAGTATACCTCATACTGAAAAGAGATTATATATATATATATATATATATATATATATATATATATATATATATATATATAATCACTTTCTTATATATATATATATAATCACTTTCTTATATATATATATATATATATATATATCACTTTTTATTATATATATATATATATATATATATATATATATATATATATATTATATATATATATATATATATATATATATATATATATATATATATATAATCACTTTATTATATATATATATATATATATATATATATATATAATATATATACTTTCTTATATATATATATATATAATCACTTTCTTATATATATATATATATATATATAATCATATATTTCTATATATATATAATCACTTTCTTATATATATATATATATATATATATAATATATAAATCACTTTCTTATATATATATATATAATATCACTTATCTTATATATATATATATATATATATAATCACTTTCTTATATATATATATAATATTATATATATATATATATATATATATAAAATTATGTGTGTGTGTTGATAGATAGATAGGGACATAAACAAGTATTCCATTGCTTTTGTGAGAAATTTTTAATGCATTTACCCTATAAATAGCCTAGGTGTCAAAAAATTTGACACTGTCTCGGCCATTCAAGGTAAAACCTCAAATATCAGCTATTCCACTGAATACTTTTTAAAGAATTAAGTCTGTTAAGCATCTTTGCTAAAAAAAAGTTCAATAATTGTCCATAAGCCCAGCATCGAACCAAAAAAAAGTCTAGTTATTCCATAGGAATTTGTTGAAAATTTGAAGATGTCGAAAACGACACCTCGGCCATCCTAGTGTTAAAATACTTCCTGGATATATAAGTTGTTGTTTTATTTTAAGTATCACCAATTTGTAATTTGCATGTTGGTTTATAGGGGTTCGAAAGAACCCACCCTGTTAAACCCGGCCTTCTGCCACAGGCAACCCTCGTGGTGGGTAGCTAAATATACGATCTGCGATCTGTTTCAGCTAGACGGTCGAACCCTCTGCTTCTGTGCAGAGAGGAACCCGGACGAGGCTCTGGCGAAGGGCAAAGTCTCGTTCGGGGAGGTTGACCAACCCGATCCCGTTTATGCAGGTTCTACGGGCATTTTTTTGGCCGAGCCTACGGGCTCGGAAGACCCACGTTAAACTTAGCCTTGTGCCATATCTACCCTCGTGGTTTGTGGGGTAGTAAATACTCACTAGCCGGGATCTGTTAGGCAGCTCTTAGCTACTGTCGAACTCTCTGCCTTCGGACAGAGAGGAACCCGGACGAGACTATGCCGAAGGTCAGTCTCGTCCGGGGAGGTAGACAGACCAGAACCTGTTTATGCAAGTTCTACGGGGAATTTTTTCGCCGAGCCTACGGGCTCGGATGATCCACTCGGTCTTGTGTCACATCTATCCTCGTGGGGGTGCTAGTAAATATTGACTAGGTGGGATCTGTTGAGTATGACTCAGACTTACAAAAGAACTACCAACCTTCCAATAGTAGCACTCACTACTGGATTGACTTGTGCTGACCTTGTGCATAACTGTTACGTTTATTCTTATTGTACTGGTTTTCTTTTTACAATAAACCTTGACTTATTTTATCTACCTTGTTTTTCAAGTATATATTCCTATTAGCACGGAATATAACATTAGGTTTTCTCTGACTAGGGAAAAATTGAAAAACGTACTTGAATATAATCAATATATATAATCAATATTTAACTGTACAAACTTGTTTAGTTTAGTCAGTATTTCCATATTGGATCGCCAGCGAGTAAAACCCGTGGGTCTTGTTGAAGACCACAATTCTTCGAACCTTGTGGGCTGGAGCTATATGATCTTAAACAAAGAACTGTACCAAATAATAGAAACCACACTACTTGAGGAATTTCAACAACTAAAATGGATATCGTGTAACTAGAAGAGAACGTAACATACCTAAGATGTTGATGCTCTACACAAATAAAAGGTTAGGAAGGAAAGTGCGATAATGGATTTGAGAAACATATTTTCTTGAAACGAGAAATATCTTATAAATTTACCCAATAGTAGTACTGACTGCTCGGTCAATGAGTGATGGATGTTTCCTTATAAGCAAACGGCTAATATTACCATTACCATTTAGTACGTCCAGGTGATTGGTTGATGAACAAATAAATTTAACTACCAAAACAAAGGGGAGATAACTCATGATTGTCAACACGTTCGAAACCTACTTTATCAGGAGACCATCTACCAGCTGTTCTTTGTTGACAAGCCTTGTATGAAATATGAAATTAACTGTGGCAAATGTAACGATACACTGAGCAGGAGATGATACCCGTATGTCTCCACGGTTGTGTACAGCAATGTCAAAAAAAGAAAAGAATACTAAGCTGTTACGTGACCTCTGTCCTTCTTTATGGAAGCGAATGTTGGGCGATTTGTTAGAATTTTTGGGTACTTTGTACTAGTTAGCCAACCAAAATGAGCTGACTCATTTTATAGTCCACCAAGAGAAGGGTTAACCAATCAGAAAGCTCAAAATATTCAATCCGACGTGTATAAAGGCAGCCATTTTGTTTTTTCCTCCAAAAATATCTTCACTGCCAACCTCTGATATCGAAGACCTGAAGAATTATTGAACTGCTGCTACTAGTGATATTGGCGTTGTTCCATTGAACACATTACGTACTGCACTGGATTCTATATTCAAAGACTACGGCAAACATGGTCAACACGATTTCCTCAAAGATGAAGAAGGGGCGACGGGGATCTGGTTCTACAGAAGGATGCAAAGGAGATCATGACCCAGCGTGTGAGCAACGATGAGGTCTTAGAGAAGTTGCAAACAAGGAGGAGGCTTATACTTAACATCAGAAAGAGGCAGTTCCTGGTACACATAATGAGGAAGGAGGGCCTGGAGAATCTGATACTCACTGGCCGAATAGAGGGAAAGAGATACAACGGAAACTTAAGCAAGTGGATAACAGAACGTTGTCTGGGAAGGTAGCAGAGGGTAGGAACTTGAGAGCTGCAAGGGATAGAGGAAGAGGTGGAGAGCCATGATCGCCAACGTCCTGAAAGGACATGGCACATATTGATAATGTATTATTTGTATTATTAATAATGTATTTAAAAGTTCAGTAAAATTCAAATAATTTAAATCTATTGATAATGTATTCGAAAGTTCATGTTATTAATATGAGTGAACGGCATTTTTTAAAACTCAATTCAATAAATCGTTTCTTTCCTGCTTTCGGGCTCACAGACATGTCACATTGAAACACCAGTTCCCCTTTGATCACCGAAGTTAAGCAATATTGAGCCTGGTCAGTGCCTGGATGGCTGCCGGCTTGGGGATACCAGGCGTTGTAAACTTTAACGTGCCGGTGTATCGGAATGTGAAATTCGAATTCCGGTCGTTTTCGTTACATTCATCTACGCGCAAATACTTTTGGGAAGGTATGAATCTATCTCCCCCGGCTATGGGTTAAATAGTAGGACAGACTTGGTCAGATAACTTTGGTTGGCAACCAGTCTACCGAAGCAAATAACCGTAGCCGACTGCGGGGATTCTTCTGCCAAGGGAACCATGAATCGGAAAACGACATTATCGCCGAAGAGTGCACCTAAGAATGGAAGAGTGCTTACTAGGGCAGGAATTTTAACTGCCAAAACTTAGTGGGTAATGTTTAAATGATGTAAAGAACGTTAAAGTGACACTTCATATTTATAATCGCATCTCTCTCACATTACTGCTTTCTAAATTGCTGAATCTACAGTTGCAACCGACAGATGCAAAGAGCCGACCTATATATATATATATATATATATACACACACACACAATATGATAAAGAAAGAGTAGGAAACGTTTATCAATCTAACATGTTTCACTTTTATTAAAGCTTCATCAGCCAATTAGATATGGAGAAAAAAGAAATTCTAGTAATTTTATTTTTATTTTTTATAAAAATAAATTAGATGGAAAGAAATGAAATATAAAAAACAGATAAATGTGAAGAAAGTAATTGTAATATATTGGAATAAAAAATATAATCCCTATATATATATATATATATATACACACAATATAATAAAGGACAAATAGGAAATGTTTATCAATCTAACATGTTTCACATTTATTAAAGCTTCATCAGAAAATGAGACATAGAGAAAAAGAAGAAAAAATTCTAGTACTTTTATTTTTGTGTTGTTTGATTTTCATTGGTTAATCAGGCGTCATATGACTTGTTAAACAAACGTTAGTATAATTTATGGAGAGACAACGAGTCCTTTCCAAGTTCCAAGAAATTAACAGATTCCAAGTCTAACTGAAAACCAAAAAAAAACGTCAATATTGCTTTTTGTATGTAAGTGCATCACAATTTTAGTTTGTCAAGAGATTTCTTTTTGCTAATATCGTGATCATTTGCTTTCAGATAGAAATATTATTTAAATAGACAAATGTTTTTATCTAGTTTTATCCTTCTGAACAAATGTGTCTATAATTCGCAGAAAACAGAATAGTATTCTAGTAAACTAGTAAAGAAGTTTATGGCCATATCTCGTTGAAACACCGGTTCTCGTCGCATTGCCAATGATTATGCAACGTCGATCTTGGTTAGTACCTAAAATGGTTGACCGGTTTGGAATACCTGGCGCTGTAAACGAGATGGTGTAATAGATGACTGCTCGGAATGGGAAATCAGAGAGCCGAGTTCGAATACCAGCTGGATTCGTTACCTTCACTTACACTCAAATAACCTTGGGCGATCATAAATCGAAAAGAAGTACGATCGACCAAGCGTGTCACATCCGCCCCTACCAACACGTATAGGAGAAGAGAAGTAGGGTAATGTCCTATTGCTCCCCGATGAATCTCGTAAAACAAAGGATCTTCACAAGCTGAGATACATAACTGGTAAAGTTTGTTACAGGTCTCAAACACTGTTTAAGGTTTGTCTTGTTCTTTCATGGGAAATTGTTAGTATGCACGGCAACAATGGATTATTCTAGTCACGATACTGAGTATTTTTATTTACAGTATTGCCAATGCAAGAAAGAGGACAGCTATCATTTAGGGTAAACCTGTTAATAGTTTCAAAATAAGTGTGAGCCTCATCTTCACAACTCATCCATAACACTGACTATATATGCTCACGATGGAGAGTATATTTCAAAATGATTAAGGGTTAAATGTTGTAACGCCGGTTCTCGTCACTCTTTGTCGGTCAGTTTAAACACTCAGTATTTAATATTCCAAATTCTATATTGTGTTAATAGGACTCGCTTGGATTATATCAACGCATTACTACCTATATATATATATATATATATATATATTAGTGTTGTGTATGATACACCTAATTTACATAAGTGGAGTACCGACCATATAAATATGGGTTGGTACCGGAAGACGATGGAAGATTAAGAGATCGAATCCAGAGACTCTGCCCGACTGCGACTTAGTCAACCCATTCTGCAGGAACAGTCTTCCCAAGAATATACCAAAACTACCTGTAAATATTGTGTACCTTTTTTCATTGTTTCAATACATTTTGTTACGTACATTTTGTGTTGTATTATTATTATTCCATGCTTATTCAAGCTTCAACAATTAGTAATAATCTTATAAGTATAAGAAATTATATCGGTCCGGAAAACCTTCGGTGTCTTGATTTGTGAATAATCAAACCAATGCCAAAGGGAAGAAAAAGGTATAAAAAAAAGAAAGAACCAAGAACATGTACGTTAACCAAAAACAATCGTCTAGGTTTAACTATATATATATATATATATATATATAGAGAGAGAGAGAGAGAGAATACGAGATAAAGAACAAATAGGAAACGTTTATCAATCTAAAATATTTCACTTTTATTAAAGCTTCATCAGAGAATGAGATATGGAAAGAAAGAAGAAATACTGCTATTTTTTTTTATTTATGTGTTGTTTGATTTTTCATTATATATCATGTTTCATAAGCGTTAGCATGATTTGTGGCGTTTCGAATTCAAGGAGAGACAACGCGTCCTTTCGAAGTTCCAAGAAATAAACGAACTCCAAGTCTAACTGAAAAAAACGCAAATATTTCTTTCTGTACGTAAGTGTATAATAATTCTAGTTTCACCTATGTAGGATTCAAATGATAATGTTTATTCCTAAGTGTCTGTGCGTGTGCGCACACGCATGTAGTAGACGTTATGTTTGTTGATTTTTCGCATGTTGATTCGGGAACATTTTTACGTATATTTCGTTTGTTTAGACAAAAATACTTTAGAGATTCTTTAAGAATGGATTTAATAAATGTTGGTGATGTAATATGATGTTTTTGACGTGTGTTAATAGTTTATAATATTGTTATTAGTGGGACTTTGAAGTACTTTATACGTAAAGAATTATGTCCTTTTTAATTAGGATGGCATTTGTAAAAATCAAATTTAGATTGAATAACTTTTCTTGTTTGTTCTTTATCGTATCATCTGTTGGATTCCGATCCATATTTGATCACAACTTATATATATAGTTAAATATAACAGACAACGAATGTCTACTATGTTTGATCATGAGCCATTTCAAACTTCGTATAGTGGCTTTAGTTTCGGAAGAAAATGATAAAAAATGTGATGATGGCTTATATGAGCAGAAATCTTAGATAGAGGAACAGCATATTAAAAAATTCATCCATATTTTGGACAGTTTTCGCCTTTATTTTCTCCCGAAACTAAAGCCACTATACGAAGCTTAGAACAGCTCATGAACAAACATAATAGACATTCGTTATCTGTTAAATTTAACAATATATCTTTGAATAATGATCTGCTGCCCTATACATTAATATATATATATATATATATATATATATATATATATATATATATATATATATATACACACACACACAGAGAGTTCGCCAAAAATGTGTACACACATCTGGAAAGGAAAAAGTTTGTATAAATATAGTAATATTAATTTTATTCAGATATCATGAGATTAATACAAGTTACCTCTGGACTCTACAATCACAAGAGATGCTCAAAATGGTGGCATTTATTTTCCAGATATTTATTAGTACGTTGAACTACTGCTTGGGCAACGTTGGCCAAAGTGTCCAGTGGGATTACTGCATATGCATTTCCAATTTCTTGTCTAAGGGCTGTCAAATGTAGTCGGTTTTCTGCGATATAAAGCATTCTACAGTAAACATTGTTATCGTAATTTCATAAAACTACGAAAGAAATCATTTTCCTTTCCTGAAGTGTGTATACATTTTTCTGGCGTACTCTGTGTATATGAATAAAGACAAAAGAAAAACTTATCTTAGCTGACGCGTTTCGTCCTCTGAGGAACTTTATCAAGACAAATGTAAGGATATTATTTTGTGACAAGTATTTATATACAACAGCAAAAAATGTTATTGGTTTTTCAGAGTTTTGGTATAGGGGTGTTCATGAATATTAATCAGGTTAGCAGAAATGTCAGGCAACTTCATGAACGTGAGGTGATACAGTTCAATGCCTAATGCATGAAAGTGAGGATATATATATATATATATATATAAATTATTTTGGATTGCTTTTTTCATCATTAGTCTCTAGATTTATTGATGTACATAAAAAGAATCTTTATATATATATATATATATATATATATGGGCACCTTAGGTGATGTAATGATTAGCGAACTTGTCTCGTTGGATTAATTACGACTGAGTGGTGAGTTCGATCCTCACTGTGTGCCCCCTATTTTCGACCTTGTGACACATCTAAGCTACGCTTGGAAAATCTGTATCTGTATCATATATATATATATATATATATATATAATGTGTTTGTGTGAAAATTTCAGATAAAGTATATCTGTAAAAGGACAATATGAATAAAGACAAAAAGGAAAACTTATTGTAGCTGTAGCATTTTGTCCTCTGATGGACTTTATCAAGACAAATGAAAGGATATTATTTTGTGACAAGTATTTATATACAAAAGCAGAAATGTTATTTGTTTTTTTCAAAATGTTTTGGTATAGGGGTGCTCATGAATATTCATCAGGTTAGCAGAAATGTCAGGCGTGTTCATGGAGGTGAGTTAATACAGTTCAATGCCTAATAAATGAAAGTAGTTTTTTATTTGTTTTGAAAAACCAATAACATTTTTGCTGTTGTATATAGATACTTATCATAAAATAAACTCCTTACATTTGCCTTGATAAAGTCACTCAGGTGGACGAAACGCGTCGCCTTAGATAAGTTTTCTTTTTGTCTTTAGTTCCAATTCCAGTTTGGGTCGTTATATTCACATACTCTTACAAATATAATATACTCTATTTGAATTTTTTACACACACACACACACACACACATATATATATATAT